GCTGCCCTTCCAGCTCTGGGCTTCCTAGGCCACCTCTTGAGTTAAGCAAGTTCTGGAACCGCCGCAATGAGGAAACTTTTTTTTTTTTTTTTTTTTTTTTGCCCTGAGACTCTTGTCAAGGGCATAGAGTGACAGCCTCTGGGGCCTTTTGGGGCAAGAGGTATGAAACTCAAGGGTGTCGAGTTTACTGAACTAGCATCAGGAGATGCAATTAAAAAAAAAAAAAAAAAAAAATCACCTAGCACAAGTGGTTTTATCGCCCCAGTGCTACAGGATGTTTGTACTCAACAGTTCAACATGTTGCTTTCTTTCTCTTTTGCTTAATAACTCGGAGCAGGAGGGGGAATAAAACGGGCAACATTTCTAATACTTAAATGAATGTATGTTTAACTACGAAGACTCTTTGGCTTAAAAGTCATAAGAGACCTACAGAAGTTAGTGAATATGTGTGGTGTTGGATCATGGGCGTTACAAATTCTGTTTGACAATATTTTAAAATTAAAATATTGTTCCTCAGTGAAAAACACACGACATCTTTATTTCCTAGCATTCAAGGAAGTTTTGGAGGTGGCTCTTGTCATTTGAAATATCACCTTTCTTAAAAATTTTTCTTTAGTGTTATGTATCTTCTACATAAAAGACATTGTCAAAACTGAGGCACAGAGCCCTATGTTTTGAGTGATTAAGGAGTCACCCTGTTTTATCTGGGACTTCGAAGCAAACTACGATCGTAGATCTTTTCAGTTGTTATGTGGCTTTATTTTTTTTTAAGTGGGTTTTTTGTTGTTGTTCAGGAAGTACATGAAGCAAACCCCTTCATGTCTCTCCTCCCGCCTCTTCAGGATTTCAAATGGGGAAAAACTAGAGAGGGAGGCATTGTAGGGCAATGAGGGGAGAAGGCTAGGCCAAGAGCTCACAGTCCACGGCTCTTTCTTAGCCTGTACCTCTGCAGTTAAACTGTAAAGAGTGCTTGTATTTAGTCTGCCCTAATGTTTAGCACAAAACTAATTAAGGTCTCTTCTAAGGCTGTAGTGTACCTTGCTAGCCCATAATTGAAGGTACCTTTGTATCCTGATGCAGTTGAACTTAAAGAATTATGTTAATGAATAGACTAAAGTATTCACTGTAAGGTAAACACCTGCTTTTTTGATATATACTGGGCCTAAGAATTACTTTGAGCATTATTGTGTGATCAAGCCTAAGTCTAACTAGGCATCTTATTTTCTTGGGGTGATCAGAAAGTTGAAAGCAAAACAGTTTTTTCATGTATCCCAAGAAAGGACTTCCTAATAGATTGAGACAGAAGTAACAGTTTGGTGCTAAGAGTATTGAGTTTGAATTGACCTAAGTAAGTGGAGACCTCTGTTTGTGTATCATTTTGCAGTTGGTTTGGCTTTTAGGTAACTGTAAAGCCAGCAGGTGACTGTACTGATTTGAAACTGAGTCTGAGAGTGTCCTGGAAGAAAGTATTGGTAGGAGCTGAAGGACTCTGACTGAACACAGTGACTCAGGGCTGGGCAGCATTATTTATTTTTTCCATTTCTGGTTTTGACCTCCTTCCACTTCAGACATGATTTTATGGATGACAGCATATTAAAATCCTTCCAAGAGAGATTTTTGTTATCGATATTTACTTTCCAAGGCTTCTACTTTTAAGACAATGAACAATTGTTTTTTAAACCTCTGAGAAGATAAAGGTTCTGTTTTGATTCTGGTCTCCATTTAGGGAGTGGGGGTTCTGTAATAGCTAAAAAAAATTAAGGAACCAATACTGAATAACACTGGGGTGAAAGGTTGTGATGGTATCTTAATGACTCTTCCTCACATTTTTTTTTTTTTCCTTTTTAAACAAAGGTATGAGGGTGCTGGTAGATGCCCGAGAGAAGCTTCATATTCCCTGGGGAGATAACAAAAACCAGCTCCATGGTGACAAGTTGATGGCATTTGATACCCGTGCCCCCATGGCTGCCCAGGGGATGGTGGAGACTCGAGTTTTTTTGCAGTATCTTCCTGCTATAAAAGCCTTGTGGGATGACAGTGGTATACAGAATGCCTACGACCGGCGCCGGGAATTCCAACTGGTAAGACATTCACTTCTCTAAAATGTTTAATTTATTATTTTTGTTCCTTTGGTGTGTTTTTACTTATATGTGTTTGGGGGGCATCTGCATGCCATAGCATATATGTGGATGTCAGAGGACCACCTGCGGGTATTGGTTCTCCTCTAGCATGTGGGTTATGGGCATAAAACTCAGGTCCTCAGGCTTGGTGGCAAGTGCCTTTACCTGCTGAGCCACCCTAGCTCTGAAGGATACTTTGTTAAACGACTTTTAGTAATGTCTGGTTTAGCCCACTCCATTTCCACTCCACTCCAAACTTCCATGGTGTAATCTGTTCATTCAAAAATGTAGCCTTCAATACTTGGTTTGCTGTGTGTCCCTTTCACTAAGCAAAGGTCAACCCTATAGATTTAATGAAGCTATTTCAGTGGTTAGAAAGTAATGTCATAATGACTTTCTGATGACCTCTTTCTTTTAAGGATAAGTCCAGTGAGTGAGTCTGGTTGTTCACATGTGCTAGTTAGCCTCTGAAGCACTTATTTTATGACAGAGATGAGTTTGATAGGGAGAGATTAGACCCTTTTTTTCTCCTTACTTTGTAGACCAGGCTGGCCTTAAACTTGCAGTGACCCTCATTTCTCTGTCTCCTAAGTGCTAGGATTATAGGCTCGAGTCCCCATGCCCAGCTGAGAGACTACTCTGTAAAATATTTTATAAGAAATGAAATACTGTTTTTGTGTTCTTGTTTCACATGGGAAACAATTTCCATTTGTTTTGCCTCCTTTATCCTAAAAGAGATTATAAAGTACTCCATAGCTCTTAGGTACTGTTGAAGGGTAGGAAAAAAGGATCTAATCCAAGGTAGAGTTATAACATGTGTGGGGCTTGGGGCTCATGCCTATACCCTAAGCTCCTTGTAAGCCAGAAGCAGAAGAATCACAAGTTCCAGGCCTGGGTGACACAGCAAGGCTCCGACTTAAAAAAAAAAAAAAAAAAATACAAAACCAAGAATTGAGATAGCATTTTTAACCAAACATTTTATAATTTAATTGTGAGCACTTTGATTGTATTTGCCAAATTCCAGAAAGGATCTATCAGCAGTAGCAATGTAGCCAGTGTGCTTTCCTGTAATATATGGTACAGTCTATGGTCAGTAACAGTCTAGACTGTTCTAGAAACCATGTCTTAAATCCTTAGTGTATCGTATGTTATGTGCTGGCTAGTACAGTTCATGCATGTATACACTGTTTCATATTTTTGTATTGAGCATCCGGCAGCATTATATATTGGAAAGTATAAATTTAACTTGACAAGACATTCATCCAGTCACCAGATTCCTGGTTGGCTTTGACCTTTGGTCCCTTTGTCATTTTACCTTTACAGCCTTTCTGTAGACTTGCTGGCACTCCACATATCCCTTCTCAGCATTTTCTTCTTCCACCCTCCTGTTTAAGGGCAGCTTATTATTATCCTTCTTAGTTTATTTTCTCAATAGACACACTTTCCACTGTTTTCTCAGATGTTTATCTTCCCAAGGCCAGGGAAAAAACAGCCAACTGCACAGTAAGTAGTCAGTACACCCTGAATGAATAAACGAACAACAGTGTATCTGAGAGTTCCCTGTGGGAACAAAACTTCTCCATTTGTCCTAGGCCTATCTAATTGAAGTTGGGATGCCACTGGCAGTTTTTGAATCTGTACTTTCGTATCTTATTCTCATATCAGGGTCTGTGTCACTGTTAAGAATGGTGAATTATATATTTAATTTAACAAGAGCAAACAAAACCACTCAGGATGAAGACCTGTGCATTCTTGACTTGAGCCAGTCAATGTTTCAATGGAAGAATGCTGTTAATGACAGGGAAAGGTGGATTCCAGAAATTCTTTTTTTTTTTTTCTGATAAAAAGTAGTGGCGCAAGAAGAGAGAATCAAGTGAGATCCACTGGTATCTGGAAGCAAGGATTTCTCTACCCTTGTAGAGTGAGTGTATTTTCAGTAGTATCTGACCTATGATTGGTACTTGATTATTGGATTTTTTGAATGGGCTATGGTGTTTGGCACTAATGAAGCATGTTGCTTATTTGAATTCTTTCCCAGAGTCACTGTGGGTGCCTTCCCGACATACAGCTGATCCACAGGTGCTGTCTTTTCTCTCTGTAACTTTTGATGCCCTTGTCCTCTTCTTTCTGTGTTGTTCGTTGTCCTCTTAGACTCCAGAATAATCTTGTTGAAACAGCATGAATTTACTCAGAGAGCCCCGATAGTTTCCCCTGCCTTTAGAACATACCCCTTGTTGTGGGTAAAGGCTCCAGCTAGCTTACCTGTGATTTCAAGGATGTAATTGATAGGCAGCTGGACATACGCTATAACCTATTAATTCCCATGTGTTCCCTAGCTCTCTTTATATAGTTTTTCTGCCAGGGTTTTTCTGGGCCATGCGTGTTCATTAGATCTTCCTTCATTTGGAGCATTGGTATAGTCAGATTTTAAATACTAGGTTTTTGTTGTTGTTGTTGTTGTTTTTAATTACTTTGTGTGTTTTGCCTGCATATATGCTTAGTGCCTGTGGAGGTCAGAAGAGGATATTGGATTCCTTAGAACCAGAGTTAGGGATGATTGTGAACCTCCACACTTGAGCTGTGACATGCACTCCCTTCCTCAATGAATAATTAAATAAAGAAATGTCTTTAAAAGTTTTTCATTTCAACCAGTAGTTTATTGTATTTGACTTCTTACTGCAAATTGAAATGAGAAAAAAAAATGGCTGACGTTTTTTAGAGACCCTTTTTGCTGAAGCTGAGTGAGTGCCCCTTGGTTTTCAGACAAGGGATAAGGGTAGCCATGCTGCAGTGAACTACTCGTTTGTTAGTTGTAATTTTGGGTGCAGATAGGATTTTTCTCAAAATTCTCAGGTCATACATTTCATTTTCTAGTTAGTTTCCGTTGTGGGTGAACTAAACAGCTTACGTAGAAAAGAAAAATCTCAGCATCACATAAATGTCCAAATGTCAGGTGCCTTTCTAGTTGTAAGCCAGCATGTGAGGGTAATATGTTGGAAGAAGTGGTCTCTTTTAGCTACTTACACCTTGGCTGTCAGTTCATGGTCACCTACCACAGTGCTTGTGACACACAGCATGAGTGCACTTTAAAAAGCTTCTAAGAGTGCAGTGGGTAGGACATTTGGTAATCCTGATGACTGCCTAGGTGAGGTTGGCTGGGTGGAGGACTGGCTGGACATGATAAAGCTGGCAGCACAGTCAGACTGACAAAATGCCTAGGAGCCACCGCCTACTAGTCTCTTAGTTCAATTTATAGTTACAGTTAAGCAGTATAAGCAACACTGGCCACAGAGGACAGGACAGGGTGTGTGACAGTGGGAGGAACAGGGGACAGCTTCCTAGTTTCTGTAAACAGTTTAACTTTGTCAGCATTAATGCAGCTTCCTGTGAGTGGCCAGTCTGCCTTTGCAACTCTTGAAAGCAAAACTACTCTTTCTTGTTAATCATCATTGTCCCTTCACCGGGACTTGACTTTTCTTGCTTAGATGGTACAGTTTGTGCTTGATGATAGCTTCATTTCTCTAGGCTGTTGGTGGAGGCAGATTCTCCTGCAATCTGTGTAGCAAAGTAACTATTTTGCTTCAGTCAGTGGTCTGGAAAAGGAGCAGAGTATCAACTAAGTAAAACTAGGAAATTTTGTTGCGGTTGGTAAAATACTTTTGTTTGCACTGCAGCACACATATTGGAAATAGAATACCATATGAGTCTCTTGTTTATTCTTTAACACAAATTTGGTTTTGCTTTGAAGGGTGACTGAGGCCAGGCTGAAGCAGGAGGATCTTGAGTTGGAAACCAGCTTCAGCTGCATAGAGAGTACAAAGGTTATATTGGAGACCCTGGACAGAGCCAGAGGAAGAGAGCCAGAGACCCCAGGGGATGCCTGGGAACTTGACACTTTAAAGGGTAGTACAGGGCCTTCAGAATCACCTCTGATGGAAAACAAAGTTACTGGTAACTAATTGGTGCTGCTGCTAATGTGTTTATTAAATTGGAAAGCAATGGAACAACAAAGTAGTCTCGCTATGACTAGTCTAGTTATAATTGGGCTTTAGTTTCAGAATCCAGGACAAAAGTTTATGAGCTCACTTTAAAGAAAACAACAGCCCAAGCACTTCCTGGATGGACTGTTCCCATTCTCCCTCTACAAATAGGATGCAGCTTGAACAAGCTGGGGGGGTGCCTGTTATTTTTCTAGAGAGTTAATTGATAGTGCTGATAACTATAATCCCTGTTTAGTACCTCAGAGAGTTAATTGATAGTGCTGATAACTATAATCGATGTTTAGTACCTCAAGGTTTGGGACAGTTGCTTGGTATTTTTCAAATCACTGTTGCATATAACATCCCCTAATTCAACAACAAACCGTGACAAGATACTTGCTGTTGTTCTCAGCTCATAGATGGGAAAGAGTGAGGCCTGGGCACAGGTTCCTTGATGTTTTGGTCTCCAGACCTAGTCAGTGATAGTAGACTTCCAAGTGGGAGTCCTGTCTGCTCACCCCTGGTCCATCACTCCTTGCCTTGCCACTGACCCCTTCTGCAAGCACTCAAGAATTATGTCCCTGGAACAGTTGTCTTTCCTCTCATTTCCAGCCTTTTTGGATTCCCTTTTACCCAATAACCAGCAGACCACTATTGAGTCTGTGGAAGGTCCTGTTAATGTTTGGCATTGCAGTGATATTCACATGTCCTTTTTCACATTTGGAGTGTTCATAATGTTCCTATTTATTCCTTGTTCTTTATTCGCTAACTTACAGCCAGGATAGAAGTACTCTTACCTGCCGTTGGCAGTGAGCTTGCCTACTGTGAGTGGTTTATTGTGTGCATAGTTTGTCTTGGGGCAGGCTCAGCTTGAGGCTTCCCTTCCTTACAGCTCACAGTGGCGGGAAGCCTCATCCAAGGTGCTGTCTTTTTCTGGAGATGTCACTGAAGATGACTGCCTGTCTTGTGTCTGTTTCCCAG